CCCCCCTCCATTCCACACACACGCACACACATATTATGCATGGCCACCATGTCTTTGCAATATACAAATACCTCCACTAATTTCGGCCCCAGACAACGCTCCCTCTCCACCGATGTACAAGAACACTGGACCATCTGGCTTTCTCCAGTACGCAGCATTCCTCCAGTACCTCTGGCTGAACACTCTTAAGTTCCCTGTCCTTACTTCAAAATGATCAAGCCTCTGATTAAAAGCGAACCCTTGAACTTCGTTGAAGCCTTGATTCTTGTACTTCAACTCTCTTTCGTGTTCCACAAGCTGTCGTATTTTATAGAAAGTATTTCCTAGAGTCTCGTGGCTGATTTCGAAAATACTGCTTAAAGCGAAAAGAAGTATTAGGTGCTTCATCTTCGTAGGAAGAAAAATGCTGTCAATTCATTTGATTTCTAAGAAAAACTGAGGCAAAGCGGAACGCACGTTGTTTGCTTGTCACGAGAAAAACACGAGATTTCGCAGGGATTTATGGGTAAATACCAAAGCACAGGTAGGCCAAAGCCTAAAATACACTATATTAATAACAGCGTGAAAAAGTAGGTCAGATTTGATTTCTAAGAAAGGCTGAGGCAAAGCGGAACACACGTTGTTTACTTGTCACGAGAAAAACACGAGATTTCGCAGGGATTTATGGGTAAATACCAAAACACAGGTAAACCAAAGCCTAAAATACTCGAGATTAATAACAGCATGAAAAAGTACATGAAACACTTCTTACTATGATTAATAGTCGGAATAACCTGGCCTATGTGACTCACAATTCTATTCTATAATGGTAAATAAACTGAATACAGTATATAGGAATTAAATTTTAATTTTTTTTTTACTTTTTTCCGAATATGGATCAGTTTTGAAAACTGATTTTTTTCTTAGTGGATTGGTCTTCGATCTATCCACGTACCTGAATACGCAACCAATCAGCCAATCAGAATCGAGTAAGTTTTATTGAGTGTATTCAGTAATAGACCCACTCAGTTCATTGTGCTCAGTATACCATTATGACTAGCTGTCACACAGACCGGCAGAAGGCACGCAGTCCGCCGGAGTAAATGCTGAAGCATCTTTTCGTGGTATGTTGTAGATGTAGACTGATAACAAGCACACGGCGACTTACCTTTTCAAATAAAGTTCTATTTTGTCTTTTCTTTATCAGGTATTTTGACGTTCCGTTCTTTTTGAGCAAGTTGTTCTTGTTGACATCTTTTCAAGGAGGCAATGAAACGTGCAATGGAAAAGACTTTGCAGTTGCTTTTCGTGGTGGTTTTGATTCTCCCCGGCTTCTGCCGTCAAGGTACTGATATAATCCGCATTTATAGATATAATTGATAGAAAGAGTTCATTGAATGTGCCTAAAAATGTCCAACAAGGTTATTTCGGGCAAGGCCTTGAAAAAATTCTGGGGTGGGAATCTGACCTGAATGGATGGGACATTTTCACTGTGGATCAATAGTTTCGCTAATATTCGCTAATATTCATATTCAAGATAGACTAGCAAAAACAGATTATCTCTGAGAAATTATGGCTAATACTTTATAAATTTCCTTTCCGCGTTAAAAAATATGATTTTTAAAACAATGGCTTAAAATGCGAGCCAAGCTGTACTATCAATATATTTAATGAACGCCTTGTCCATGGAGGCCCAAAAATGACTTCTTGGCCTATTGCACAGTTTAGTTTAATCAGTAATTCCGTATAAATTTTCTTAATCACAAACCCAGAAACAAATTTTCAGATCTTACTAGAACAATCCAATCACAGCATATTATGCTCTGTACGGCACGTTCTTTGACATTCTATACTCGAATGAGAAGTAAAATGTAATTAGATCTTACTATGCCAGAAGCAATCCATCCACACGTACAATATTATGCTAGCTATCTACAGTGAGTAAGTTGTTCTTTCTTTGACATTTTTGAATGATTTCCAGTGCGGTCAGTTCACCAGCGGAAAACCTTCAAACCATGATCATCATAGGTCAACTCTTTTAGATTTTTAGATAAATGCATGCAATGACTTAGATATCAGTATCCTAAACTCATAAACGGCTAAGACAAGGGGAGCTTTATGCCTCGATAAAAATCGTGCAAACGATTTTTATTCGAATTAGTATTAACACGTTTCATGTCATGACTACAGGCAATGCCTTCACGAAAACAGACGATAATGTTTAGTCCGTAAGTCACGTGATATGTGACGTCACGTCATGTCACGTGGTCATATGATTGAGAAAAGAAGATGCTCATATGCAAGCGCTAGATTCCTTAGGCACAAGGGAGGCAAAAGTTTCCTGAATTCCTTGTTCTTACATGGTTTACGTGTATCGCGTTTCTCGTGTGTGTGTGTTTTGTGTGTGTGTGTGTGTGTGTGTGTGTNTAAAAAGGTAAATGTAAAGTGTCCTTATTTTACGTCGGTCGTAATGGTCATTGACTAATTAACTTGCTGAGGCCGATGGTGCGTTCATTTCGCTCCCTCTTTCCATCAGTGCTCCGTTTTAAGGGTATTTAAAGCTAATTAAAGCTACACGGAAAGGAAAGAAGTCGAAACAATGATGTGTGGTCACTGAATGGGAGTCGAGTCAAACCTCTTGCAAAGAAGACCGCGCACTAACCAGCAGGGGCAGCGGAAGCTGAAAATTTTTGGGGAGTGTGTGTGTGTGTGTGTGTGTGTGTGTGTGTGTGTGTGTGTGTGTGTGTGTGCAGGGGCGGCGGAAGCTAAAAATCTTTGGGGGGGCACTGCAAAATCTTTGGGGGGGCATTGAAGATTATATTTAACGCTATGTGATCAATGACAATGTTTTGTTTGATTGCAGACGCATGAGCAGTAAAACAATGACTATGAAACCAATATTTTTTGGGGGAGCCAGGCCCCCCAAAATATTTGGTGGGGGAGGGGGGGCACGTACCCACCCGGACCCCCCGGTTCCGCCGCCTCTGGTGTGTGAAACGCTACATGTAAATCAGTGTTTAAGGCTGTCGCCTTCGTCAATCAAAAATTTACCAAGTCGAACTTTTGTGAATCTGATTTACCTATGCCATAAAGTGTAAAATACACCGCGAGGCTAAAGTTACGCTGAAGTAGTCGAACTTTGATTTATTTCTTCATTTTTTTTGTTAATAAAGCTTTGAGTGTTACCAACTGTCTCGTTTAGCCTTTGGCTATTACAGCTGGCTTGTACCAATTTCCTGTATTCGTGTAGTTTAGTTTATGTCATTTTGCAAATTTGGTACTAAATAAAGATTGATTGATTGAATGTAAAGTCACTCGTTTGGAAAAATATTTTCAGGTCAAGAACGAACGAGATTTTTCCATGACAAGATTTCTTGTCCGAAGTTTTGATTGTTTCTTTTTTAAATTACTCGCCAATTCTAGGTAAAAATCCATAGTATCAACCATGTATCCCTCCCGCTTTCTTTATATATTTTGTTTACTTGCACCAAGTTAATACATAACAATGCATTCTGTAGTCTGTATTTGCCATCTCAGCAGTAGTTTCTTATTTTCTTGCATACAGCTAATGTTCGCTTGGTCGGAGGGTCAACTAAAAAAGAAGGTCGAGTAGAGATTTTCTACAATGGCTCATGGGGAACAGTCTGTGATGACAGGTGGGATCGTAAAGACGCTAAAGTTGTCTGTCGCTCTCTGGGTCTACTATGAAAATCAGTAGCAGCACTAGGCAAAGCAGCGTTTGGTCCTGGTGCTGGTCCAATCTGGATGACTTCTGTACGCTGCCGAGGAAATGAAACATCTTTGTTTCAGTGTCCGCACGAAGGACCGGGATCACCTAACTGTGGACATGGACGCGATGCTAGTGTTGTATGTGAAAGGCTACCACGTAAGTGAATCATTGATTCGTATATCTATACATTCATAGAGAGATATATACCTATTTCAGAAATCTTTGTCGCACCAAAAGCCTCAAGTAACAAGCCAAGACCGTAGAGAACGCCGGTACTTTTAACTGTAATTAGTTTATTCATGATACTTTTAGCTGTAATTAGTTTATTCATGATTGCTCCAAGCAAGGCTGCTTGAGATGATAATTGGTGCAGAGCTATAGACACTTGCATGAACCATGAATAAATCAATTATAATTAAAAGTACCGACGTTCTCTGCGGTCTTGGCTCGTTATTTGAGGCTCTTGGTGCGACAATGATTTTCGAAATAGGTGTATATAGACAATCAACAGCATTACTATGGGCTGGCCGTGCACGCATGCGCGTTAATAAGTTTTGCGACTGAAGTAATAGTCCCTTTAGCCATGATGACGTTTTATACCTACACTTCCAGAACCTTTTTCGGTAGTGGTTTTGTTATGCTAATATTCATTATTGTTTTGGTATTCTCAAAGGAGTTTTAACATTTGAATATGGAAAGATATTTTGAAAAGGATTGTGGTAGTCTAGGTATGAAACGTCATTAGGATTAGGGTCTATACATGATCCCCTCAACTGACTTCTTATTTATTTATTCGAGATTTTGCCCGCAGGCTGGTGCTGCACAATAGGACTCAGGGTCCCCTTCGGGGTACATTGCACCAATTTCCAACCCCGTAAAATCCCGATACCCATCCCACAATCAACCCATTAAGAAACCATTAGTACCCCGAAGAGGACCCTGAGTCCTATTGTGCAGCACCCTGCAACGGAGGGACGTAAAAGAACCACTGCTAGGGTTTCTTTATGTCCTCAGTGGTTCTTTTACGTTCCTCCGTTGAGGGGTGAGGTAGTATGGAGAGACGGGACCTCCATTTTACGTGGTCATCCGAGCCACATGAAGGTCTAACCATTTGTAGTTATTACAAAGGCAGCACCTTCTCCTCAGTTATTTTAAGACCCTGAGTATTGGTCCGACCGGGACTCGAACCACAACCTCCCACACGAAAGTCCGATGCTCAACCAACTGAGCCAACCGGGTTGAGAACACTACGACAAAAAGTCCTAGTTTTGCCAAAACTCACCTTCTCATGGAGGAGTTTATTCTCTATACGTATCCAAAAGCAGGTCCAATGCATCCTTTCTAAACTTCTTCGTTAAAATTTTCAACTGACTCAATTTACTCAACAAGATTTCCTTCAAAACTCAACGAAGTAATGCCGACCAACCAATTATCAGTTCTCTAATTTTATCGTATTTAGTGAGGAATTTCACTGGTGTTATCACCAGTCCCGGATACCCCAAAAAAATGCCAAGAGCCTACTACGACTGGACATTCATACCTCCCATACGGCGTGTGTGAGACACAAAACTAGTACGGCATTTCGTGACTAAGTCTTTATGTAAATATTAGAGTGTGTGACGAAATGTTCATGTAACCAGATAGTAGTTTTGTAACCAGAGATAGAGAGGGATATATTCTTACACACATGTACTGAGCATAGATCTCAAAGAAAGAAGCAGTAAATATAAGTTCCAGCAAAAACG